GTATGCACCGAGAAGCACCTCCTCCGCCGTCCACCTTGCTCAACCCCCTCCGCCCATAACGTTTCTCTCATGACAACTACCTGTATGGAATGTACGGGTGGATCTAGGAAATTTCTGAGACCTAAGTACGTACTTACCCACACACACATAGAAGTGTACCTAATACAGAATTGAAAGACGTTAGTACACGCGCATTGGCATCATTGTAATAGGTTTCTAATATGACCAGACAAATCTAATAACAGCAAGAAAAATGTATTAACAAGCGTAGTATTATCACTCACCACCACACCAGTCAACCGTAAACAGTAATAATAATTCATGGATTCATTGGTTAATCAGGGACAAGTCTATAAAATTATAAGGTTGAGGAGAAGAACTCAAAAACTGGTGGACCACGCTGGGGGGGAGAAGGGTGTGGCGCCCCTCCCTCGGCCACGGTTAGATTTATTTGGAATATTAGTGTTAACTGATGCATTTTGATCAGGGTTTTTATTTTAATATTTGCCATATACATATCTACTAAATTTAAATTTTGTCCACAAAACTCACTGAAAATTCTCAGATACATAGACAGGATTTGCTAAGAGTTTAGTGTAGGTTATCCAAACAGCGGTGGGCGAACAAAGGTGTTATGACTGTTGGCATTAAGAATTAATTTAAAGGAAACAGTTCTCTGTAAAGAGGAAACTCCCGGCTACGGTGCTGCACAGAGGAAACTGCCTCGTCTACCTCTACCTCTCAGTCGTCACTGGAGGCAGCAGGTTCCTCTTATCGATTTACTTATCCTTTTCATCGTCTATCAGCGTACAAGCCGCGGTTGGTAACTCCTCAGCTTTATGTGGGTGGCAGATCTGATCACGTGGTATGTGGACTACTTCACCCTTGGTTCTAGAAACATAAAATTTGACTGGGTGCATCTATGATGACAATTTTGTCCTGTAGTACAGTACAGATTGGACAGCCGTAAACGTCCGAGCACTTTTAGATGAGAGCCACTCATTGGTGAAGGGGGTGGGGGTGACACAGCGGTGGGTGTCTGACCCGGAGGGAGGAGGGGAGGTAGCTGTGTCGTGCCAATATGTTTTTCGTGTTGGATCAGCGTGACAGGTTTGGTAGGATAAGGTAATCGCTCTGTTTATTTGTTCTTAAAGGTGCGTGTGATAGGCCAGCCCCCCCACCAACCCACGATAACGCTACAAATATTTCTTGTTACCAGCGGCCCTGGTGCTAACTGAAGAGAGGAAGGGGGGGGGGGGCGTACACTCTGTCAGCTGTATTCATCCACCAGCACCAGAGTCTTAAAGATTTGTATTTTTAAGTTTTCCTGACTCTGTAATTGGTAATTTAAAAACACATGAAAGAGGGGAACTTATTACAAGACACAACGAAGGCGGCACATGTAACATTGATGTGACATTTAGACACTCGTAATTATCTGTGTTTTCTCGTCTACAGTGAGGAGAAAACTACCTGAGGAATATTTGAGCATGTTGGTGTGTGTGATGAACAGAGTCTGGAAAAATACACAACATTGTCTTCTCAGCCCGGGTGATGATAAGGTGTGTGAGCCTCAGCTTAAATGTCCCTAAGTTCTAATAAGCTCCATCCTATAACCTATTCATTAAAATGGGGGACCTATTGGGACTGTCCCCAATCCTAAAGGTTCAACTGGAGCGTATTAGGACGGGCCCATTTGATCAGTCACCCTTAAGGTATACAAGAAGAATTATCACGTGTAAAGTGAGTCAGGTCAAAGGTGGTGGTCAGGACCAGTGAGGCAGAGGTAAGAGCAGGCAGGAGGTGGTGGTGGTGTTCTTGAAGGCAAGGTAGATAGCGCCTCCCTCCCCCACATACACACACACCCGCTACACACAGATAACAAGATAACAAGACAGTTACCAACCAAGAAACACGGCTCCAAAGGTGATAGAAAACATGCGATAAAAGCAAATAATACCAGAAAGAGAGAGAGAGATGCAATATAATGTCTTATAGTAAATGTGATTTCAACGCCAATTCTCCAGGCTTCGCTGTTTCGTATAACAAATTCGTCCGTCCTGGTGCATGAGTACAGCTAACACGGACACGTCACCCCCCCCCCTCACTACACAGGGATGCCAGAGTACAATACAATAAACATTATACTAGTTGGTGTTATATGAACAAATGTGGTGAAGGTAATTGGATATTTAAAGTATTTTTTAACAGGTATAATAGTTTGACATCCTTGTATCTATTTATTAGGGATATAACTATTGTTTACACTTGGGACGTGATAATATCGAACTGTAAACAACTATAAGAAAGTGTCAAAATATAAAGATTTGCATCAGGTGGTAGTAGACCTGGTAACTGCGCGAAGTATTTCATTCGTTTGTGGTAGTCAAAGTGAACAAACAACCGTGATATTATTATTTTAAGTAATATAAATAAAACAACATTAATGGTAAGATTATTATTACCGCTATGTGTTATAGTGTGAATATCTTATCATGGAAGAGAATCATAAAGAAAAACAATACCAGATACTTGAATAATTTTGACAAGGTTGTTTCCGTGTTTGATTAAAATTAGCCATCCTCACGTTAGTTTAATCTATTATAACCTAACTTAACCTAACCTCTTATAACCTAAAACCTAACTTAACCATCCTAACGCTAGCCTAACACATCATAACCTAACCTAACGCTAGCCTAACCAATCAGAACCTCACGCTAGCCTAACCAATCAGAACCTCACGCTAGCCTAACCAATCATAACCTAACGCTAGCCTAACCAATCAGAACCTCACGCTAGCCTAACCAATCAGAACCTCACGCTAGCCTAACCAATCAGAACCTCACGCTAGCCTAACCAATCAGAACCTCACGCTAGCCTAACCAATCATAACCTCACGCTAGCCTAACCAATCATAACCTAACGCTAGCCTAACCAATCAGAACCTCACGCTAGCCTAACCAATCATAACCTCACGCTAGCCTAACCAATCAGAACCTAACGCTAGCCTAACCAATCATAACCTAACACTACCTAACCTAGACTTACGCTACCTAACCAATCATAACCTAACGCTAGCCTAACCAATCAGAACCTAACGCTAGCCTAACCAATCAGAACCTCACGCTAGCCTAACCAATCATAACCTAACGCTAGCCTAACCAATCAGAACCTAACGCTAGCCTAACCAATCATAACCTATAACAACCTAACCTGACACTAGGCTAACTTATCATAACCTAATCTAACCTAACCATCCTAGCACTAACCTAACCTCCCCCAATAGTGTTAAGGTGAGTAATCTTTAGGTGAAATAAGCTGGGCTGGAGATTCTTCAGGTGACTCACTATTTGACACAGTTCATTAGGCCCAATAAGAATATTACTCTATATAAAGAACAGGGATATCGTAACGATGATTCACGAAACGGTCGGTGATTCATGAGACTGATGGTGATTCATGAGATGGACGGTGATTACGGACGGTGATTCACGGATGGTGATTATGAGACGGTCTGTGATTCATGAGACAGTTTTGATTCATGGAGACGGTCGGTGATTCAGAGACGGATGGTGATTCATGAGACGGATGGTGATTCATGAGACGGATGGTGATTCATTCGGTGATTCAGAACGGTCGGTGATTCATGAGACGGATGGTGATTCATGAGACTGGACGGTGATTTATGAGACGGTTGGTAATTCAGAGACGGACGGTGATTCACGGAGATGGACGGTGATTCATGAGACGGTCGGTGATTCGCCGAGACGGTCAGTGATACACGAGACTGTCAGTAGTAATTCACGAGACGGTCGGTGATACACGAGACTGTCAGTAGTGATTCATGAGACGGACGGCGATTCACGAGACTGTCAGTAGTGATTCATGAGACGGTCGGTGATTCACGAGACGGTCGGTGATTCACGAGACTGTCAGTAGTGATTCATGAGACGGACGGTGATTCAGGAGACAGTCGGTGATTCATGAGACGGTCAGTGATACACGAGACTGTCAGTAGTGATTCATGAGACGGTCAGTGATTCATAAGACTGTCAGTACTGATTCATGAGACGGTCAGTGATTGGACCTGACACACTGTCCACGCCAGCAACACCTATGACAACCTTCCCTTCATAAATATATTTTCACTACATTTATATCACCTGTATTATCATAATTCCTCCCAGACTCAGGTATGGTTGTAGCTGACTTAATTAATTACATTATTTATCGTAACTGTAATAGATTTTATATAATGTAATTTTTTTTAACAGTTATATTGAATAAACACAAAAGGAACTTAGATTTGTAATTTTCATCGCGTGTGTGTGTGTGTGTGTGTGTGTGTGTGTGTGTGTGTGTGTGTTGTGGTCTCGTTGTGCGTGACTGTCTTGTGCTGTACTGTAGATGAAGCGATGGGAAGTCTCGGAGCTAGAAATAATTTAAGTCCATATTGGGGTACATGTATCTTAAACAAAGGATCCGTCTGCCTCACAGGAGAAGGAGAACCAAATCAAAGATAGACGGGTAGTGAGTGAGTGAGTGACGTGACTTGTAAGTAAATAATAATAATAACTTCTCGGGATTCGGGTCTTGGAGCGTGTCGGTGGACCAGACTTTTGGGGTCACCTGAAGATTAGGCACCCCAGCTTATTTAAACTGGAAGATTAACCATCCCAGCTTATTTTACCTGAAGATTACGTATCCCAGCTTATTTAACCGAAAGATTAACCATCCCAGCTTATTTTACCTGAAGATTATTTAACCGGATTAGGCACCCATGCTTATTATAACTACGGCCGAGTGGATACGGTACTTGACCCATTTTTATAGGGTCAACGGTTCACATCCATAAATAGATAAATTAATGCGTAAATATATAAATAAGTAAGAACATAACAAGGTGAAAGGGGATGAGTCAGATTAGTAATGAAAGACAAAATGTTTCTTACATCTATGGAGACAACACAACAACCTGAGGGGAACAGCAGCAGATAGTATCACGAAGACAGCAGTAAGGACACAATCAGCGGTAGCGATGCAGCAATAGGGACACAGCACTGACAAGCGTTACAGCAGTAGTGACAGTAGGAGTGATACATGTAGCAGTAGCGACACAGGAGTGATGTATGCAGCAGTAGTGACACAGGAGTGATACATGCAGCAGTAGCGACACAGGAGTGATACATGCAGCAGTAGCGACACAGGAGTGATACATGCAGCAGTAGCGACACAGGAGTGATGTATGCAGCAGTAGCGACACAACAAGTAGAGTGATACATGCAGCAGTAGCAGTAGCGACACAGGAGTGATGCAGCAGAAGGACAGGAGTGATATGCAGCAGTAGCGACACAGGAAGTGATACATGCAGCAGAGTAGATACATGACACAGAAGTGATACATGCAGCAGTAGCGACACAGGAGTGATACATGCAGCAGTAGCGACACAGAGTGATACATGCAGCAGAAGCAGACACAGAAGTGATACATGCAGCAGTAGCGACACAGGAGTGATGCATGCAGCAGTAGCGCGATACATAGTAGGTGACACAGAAGTGATGCATGCAGCAGAAGGACACAGGAAGTGATATGCAGCAGTACACAGAGTGATACATGCAGCAGTAGCGACACAGAAGTGATACATGCAGCAGTAGCGACACAGGAGTGATACATGCAGCAGTAGCGACACAGGAGTGATACATGCAGCAGTAGTGACACAGAACACACAGCAGAAGTGACACAGGAGTGATGCATGGTAGCGACACAGGAGTGATGCATGCAGCAGAAGCGACAGGAGTGATACATGCAGTAGTGACACGAAGTGGCAAGTGATACATGCAGCAGTAGCGACACAGGAGTGATGCACAGCAGTGCAGTATGCAGCAGTGGACACGCATGCAGCAGGACACAGAAGTGATACATGCAGCAGTAGCGACACAGGAGTGATGCATGCAGCAGTAGCGACACATGCATGCGACGGCAATACATGCAGCAGAAGTGACACAGGAGTGATGCAGCAGAGACACAGGAGGATATGCAGTAGCGACACAGGAGTGAGTATACATGCAGCAGTGACACAAGATACATGCAGCAAATACATGCATGCAGAAGGTACAGGGTGATGCAGCAGTAGCGACACAGGGTGATACATGCAGCAGCGACACAGTGCGGCAGTAGTACGACACAGAGTGGATACATGCAGCAGTAAACGCAGCGACAGCAGAGAGCATGCAGTGCAGCAGTTTATGTGGTGCATGCAGCAGTAGCGACACAGTAGTGATGCAGTATGGCAGGAGTGATGTAGCGTAGCACAGGAGTGATGTATGCAGACACAGAGGGTGACACAGGAGAGATGCATGCAGCAGGGGTGGAGCAAGTAGCAGTGGCGACACAGGAGTGATGTATGCAGCGACACAGGAGAGATGCATGCAGCAGTAGGGGTGGTGCATGCAGCAGTAGCGACACAGGAGTGATACATGCGGCAGTGATGTATGCAGCAGTAGCGACACAGGAGTGCATGCATGCAGCAGCTGACACAGGAGTGATGTATGCAGCGACACGGTAGGACACATGCAGCAGCAGTAGCGACACAGAGTGATGTATGCAGCAGGGGGTGGTGCATGCGCGACACAGAGTGATACATGCAGCAGTAGACACAGGAGAGATGCATGTAGCAGTAGGGAGTGATGCATGCAGCAGTAGGACACAGGAGGTGATACATGGCAGTGATGCATGCAGCAGTAGCACACAGGAGTGATGTATGCAGCAGGACAGGGAGTGATGTATGCAGCAGAAGCGACACAGAGTGATGCATGCAGCAGTAGCGACACAGGAGTGATGTATGCAGCAGTAGCGACACAGGAGTGATACATGCAGTAGAAGCGACACAGGAGTGATACATGCAGCAGTAGCGACACAGGGAGATGCATGCAGCAGTACTAGACACAGAGTGATACATGCAGCAGATGCAGCAGTGCGACACAGGAGATGCATGCAGCAGTAGCGACACAGGAGAGATGCATGCAGCAGTAGCGACACAGGGTGATGCATGCAGCAGTAGCGACACAGGAGTGATACATGCAGCAGTATGACACAGGAGAGATACATGCAGCAGTAGCGACACAGGAGTGATGCATGCAGCAGCGACACAGGAGAGATACATGCAGCAGGAAGTGACACAGGAGAGATGTATGCAGCAGTAACACAGAGATACATGCAGCAGTAGCGACACAGGAGAGATACATGCAGCAGTAGCGACACAGGAGAGATGTATGCAGCAGTAGCGACACAGAGTGATACATGCAGCAGTAGCGACACAGGAGATACATGCAGCAGAAGGGACACAGGAGAGATGCACAGCAGTAGCGACACAGGAGAGATGCATGCAGCAGTAGCGACACAGGAGTGATACATAGCGCAGCAGTAGCGACACAGGAGGATGTATGCAGCAGCGACACAGGAGGATGATCGCACAGGAGAGATGCATGCAGCAGTACACACAGGAGAGATGCATGCAGCAGTAGCGACACAGAGAGATGCATGCGGTAGGGGTGGTGCATGCAGCAGTAGGGGTGGTGCATGCAGCAGTAGCGACACAGCAGGAGTGATGCATGCAGCAGTAGCGACACAGGAGAGATGCATGCAGCAGTAGGGGTGGTGCATGCAGCAGTAGGGGTGGTGCATGCAGCAGTAGCGACACAGGAGTGATGTATGCAGCAGTAGCGACACAGGAGAGATGCATGCAGCAGTAGCGACACAGCAGGAGTGATGCATGCAGCAGTAGCGACACAGCAGGAGTGATGTATGCAGCAGTAGCAACACAACAGCCACGGAAGGGACTACGTGGCAGCAGGAACAGCTGTACTACGAAGCAGCCACAACAAAAGCGACGAGTCATAACAAAAACAGCAACAACTCCGCAATAAAAAGTCAATATAGGAGCAACGACACAGTAAATGGGACAACAACAAAAAGCATTGACCTTTAGTTACACGGCAGCACCGACACGGCTGTAGATTTTGACCATGATCTGGGACCACCCAACCCGAGAAACAGATGTCGAACGCAAGTGAGTTGGGAGGAGACAACAAGCCCTTGAAGACGTTTCCACATATAAATAATAAGATAGAGAGAAATACAGAGAAACAGTGGGGACATAACCTGATGTTTACAAGCACCTGTACACCTGTTGCACACTTGTTTCCGAACGCTGGAGTTGTTCAGAGTAAACACCGAGAGTAAGATAAAATGATTTCCTTATATCTGACCACCGCACAGCTACGCCAGGGAAGGAAAACAGTAGTTAAAATTGTGGCACATTTCTTCTAAGAACTTCCAGTGTGGCTATTCAATCTCCAATGCCGCCTCCTTCCCGGCCTTTAGGAAGAAATGTAAAAATCTTGTGTTTTCGCCCCCTGCTATATCTTCGTCTCCTCCATCTCTCCCTCCCCGCTTCCCCTCCCCGCTGTCTCTGCGATGCACGTCAGCTCGTCCCTACACACGTCACATGCAATTATTCTGCAGCTGTTGCCATGGATACATCAAAATCTACTTACGTCGCGGGCCGAAATATGTAGTGGTGAGACGACCGGTCAATACTGGAGTCCCCGCGCGTGCTTAATGGTCCTGAATTTACCACGTGTGTGTGTGTGTGTGTGTGTGTGTAAGGTGGAACAGGAGGTCTTGAGAATGAAACACACAAATACACTCATTCACACATGAGAGAACCAATTAAAACATTAGCTTTTTAAACTGAATAATTATTAGTGGTTAATGACAATTGGTGTGCAGAGGAAAAAAAAAATCAGTCGTATATTCCTCAAATGCTGTATTCCAAAGCAGATGTTTATGGACGGACAGATTACTGGGTTATAATAGAGAATTGTCAGTCATTCATACATAGGATAAGGTAATTATCACATAGTATTTAATATATCAATAAAAGCTGCGTTCAGTTAAGTATAATTGTGGCGTAGAACTTAAAAGTGTATTGACATCACCCTATACATAGGCCTAAGAAATATGGCCAATCAATTATGGAATAAAGAATAAAGGAAACTAACCGATCATAAATAATGGCAAAGAAGAGAAGAGAGCGAGGTGGCTGGGACACTACAAATGGATTCGCTCCTCCCTCCTGCCATTTAATTCCCTTGATTGAGAAGCCGTCGGGGCCTCCTGAGAGAATCACTTCAGTCTAAATACAGTGGTCACTCTCACTCCTGCAGCCCACGCACCTCGCCAAGCTCACAACACTTCTTTACTAAGCTGTTTACTCTTAGCATTTATTGACGCCGAACAACACTCAATATACGACAAAAATAGAAAAATGCACCGAAAGTAAACATTATCGGTACCTCAAGCGAAAACACACCTCCCTCCATAGTATGGAGGTTCACCAGCCTTCTGGCAGCACATACATCTCCCCTCTATCTTTTTTGTAATTGCATTTTTCTGATTGGCTGAAAAAGCCTCAGCCCCCCCCCCTCCTGCGAGACCCTCCCCCCCCTCGTCCGCTGTGACTCACACTTAACTCGCTCTCAACAAACATTGTTATTTTGTTAATTTAACAAAATATCGAAGACAATTAATAATTATAAAAAAAAATATCCGATGTTTGATGTTTGGAGTATAACAACAGTAAAAAGTTCTGGTAAATAAAATAACCTTGCAAATAATTGTTAGGTGGCACCTCAGGCTCCCCCTCGAGTTCTCCATTTAATCCTCGGTGAGGCCGGTGGGGAGGGCGGCCAGACCCCCGCTATATCATATACTGTACAGTATTGTACAGTATTACAAATACTGTACTACGCTCTCCACAACTACTATATCTCTTCATCATCAGCGACACACACACACACACACACACACACACACACACACACACACACACCGAATTTTCTAACCGTACTGTTTAGTTTGCTAAAATAATTCTCTTTATTATCCAGTTTATATTTTCCTCGCGTTTATCTCATGTTCAACACTCAAAACCTTGTGTTCCTCCTCCTCCTCGTCGTCGTTAAGCTGTAAGTCGGGCAGAGACGACCTTCGTTATCTACCGAGACATTTGCGTCATCGTGTCAGTGAATCATAATCTTAACCACACTGTACGGACGGACGGACGGACGGACGCTCTTTAACATTATCGGACACAGTCAGTTCGCTCATATGGGGGGCATATAGATTCTTACTTCCGGTGTCAGAATAAGTAACGACGGAATGGAGTGGCGGTAGTTTGTGGGTTGTTTACTTACTTAGTACAGTACTGTATAGTTATTAAGCATGTACCCAATTTGTTGCTAGAACCACATTTACTGTACATTTGTGTTGGTGGAAAATTAAACAAAATGGGGGGGGGTAGGGGTGCTAAGGCCAGGTAAGGCTTGCAGGTGTTGGGGGGGGCTGTGGTTGTTGGGGGTGGTGGGTGTTAGAGAATATTAAGGGTTGTGGTTTTGGGGGTAGCGTGGTGTTGGTGGAAGCAGTGGGTGTTGGTGGAGGTTATGAGTGATGGAGTATGTTGTAGCTGGTAAAAGATTCACGTCACACCCCCCTTGACTTAACGTAGCACCACAATGAAGAGCGAGTACCGCAAACATTCATGGTTCTGATAAACTGTGTAAGTTAGTTTAAAAAATAATCATGACTAAAGAGGAGTGTGGGAGGGTAGCACTTGCTCTTTTCTTACCCGAAGTAATACTGTGAGTTATATAGTATATTGATGTACTGTACTGCACCTGTATTCTGTGAACACCTGCAGATTTACTGGGGAGATGGCAGAGAATTGTAATTATACGGGAGAGTACAACTGTTTCATAGGGTAATGACCGGTAAACAATGGTAGGTATAGTTGTACTGCACCTGTATTCTGTGATCACCTGCAGATTTACTATGGAGATGGCAGAGAAGTGTAATTATACGGGAGAGTACAACTGTTTCATAGGGTAATGACCGGTAAACAATGGTAGGTATAGTTGTACTGCACCTGTATTCTGTGATCACCTGCAGATTTACTAGGGAGATGGCAGAGAAGTGTAATTATACGGGAGAGTACAACTGTTTCATAGGGTAATGACCGGTAAACAATGGTAAGTAAACATATTGTACACTGAAGCCCCCAAAAGTATCTGAATATATACCCGTACTGTATGTATATTGTGTACCTGCACTGTCTATGTAATTGTATACATACATGGTTTATATACACAGAATCAAAGTAAACTTGTATGGCGATTTTACTGAATATCAATTTTACTGAATATGCAATACATTAAAATGCATTGCATATTCGTAGTGAAATGGACTTAGTTATTTTAAGGCAACATTTCAGCAAGTACGAGATACACAAACTGCAAAGTATTAATCCTTAGTGCCCTACAGTGAATGAACTCACCTGTCTTGCTAACCACGGTGTACCACCTGATAAGTGATAATGATTTATAAGCACGTAGAAACATACAGTACCAGCACACCTGTTACACGGCAACAATAAATAAATAATACCACAGGTAAATTCGTAGAACTCAATCATACCCCACGTCAACACCACACCTGCTTGCTCAGACCACACCTGCTCCCCGATAACATAACGAGGAACAACTCGACGCATCATCATGCAAAAAGGACAGCAATACTCGGGGAGGCGTTTACACTGCTAGGTCAATGACAGTATTTGTTTACAATTGTTTCCTAACGTTTACTGTCATACAACATACAGCAGTGACCCGTCATACAACAAACAGCAGTGACCCGTCATACAACCTACAGCAGTGACCTGTCATACAACAAACAGCAGTGACCCGTCATACAATATACTTCAGTGACCTGTCCTACAACAAACAACAGTGACCTGTCATACAACATACAGCAGTGACCTGTCATACAACCTACAGCAATGAGCATGTCATACAACCTACAGCAATGAGCATGTCATACAACAAACAGCAGTAACCTGTCATACAACAAACAACAGTGACCTGTCATACAACATACAGCAATGACCTGTCGTACAACATACAGCAGTGACCTGTCATACAACAAACAGCAGTAACCTGTCATACAACAAACAACAGTGACCTGTCATACAATATAATGCAGTGACCTTTCATACAACATACAAGGTGGGCGAGAGGAACTGTGATGTTAGGAACCCAGAACATGTGTTTGAGCTCCGCCTTAATCACAGCATATAGTACAGTACACTTCACCATGTACTGTGTGACTTCTTTACAGCATCTGCGGTATGGTAGTATGGAATAATAGGTCTCATTAATTCTTCATTCGTGTGGTAGCGCTGTTTTGCCACATAACTTGTTTGTGTGGTAGCGGCGTTTTGCCACATTTCTTATTATTGGTAGCGCTGTTTTGCCACATTCCCCATTCGTGTGGTAGCGGTGTTTTTGCCACATTCCTCATTC